TATATAATTTACAAATATCTGGGCCAGGCCTAAAAAATTAGGCCCAAGCCCAGCCCTAAATTTTGCAGGCCTGGGCCTGGGCTGGGCCTTCACAAAAAACCCAAGCCCAAGCCCGGCCGTGTTTGAGCTTGGCGAGGCTGAGCCGGGCCAGGCTGATGAAATGATCACCCCTACCCTAAGATGGTAGATTGGGCTTTGCCTAGATCATGTTCAACCATCAGAGTAATAGAAATAAAATTGGGGGAGGTTATAGGTTCAGACCCCACGGACACTGAGGTGGTAGAATATGTACAATTTCTCCAACTATTTTGTAGCCGTTGAGCCTAGCTAGGTAGATGAGCCGAGGCCCTTATCTTTATGCCACGGGCTAGTGATCACTTATTCCATAATCTCGTATACCTTTGTCATCTACCCAGTCCTGTGTGTGTATTATCTTTCATGCCCGGGATTCCAAATCTTGTTAATTGCTACATATTGCATTGCCTATCAGCTTCTGATTTTGTTTTTTCTTTATTTAAGGGTTGATTCCTTTAAGTTGCTACCAAGTTCAGATAAAAGTAAAAGTAAATTCGAGAGAAGCTGGTAAGAGGTCTAATGAATCATATAAAACCATACAATGTGATGGTGGTATTAATTAAAGTATAGCCCAAATTTATCTACCTTCTTATTATGGTTTTGTGCTTTTCATAATGATAAATATCTTGTGGCATGCATTTTAAAGTTGGTTGAGGATTAGGGCTGTCAATCAACTCTGATACTTTGATAATCGATTTGACTCCGAATCTGATTATCCAGAATTTACATCCGATTAATCAGATGTGGATTTAATCCCATCCTATTTGATTAAAATTCAAGTTTGATAAAGATTATTATTTTATGTATATATTATGTATAATTATATATAATTAATAATTGATAGATTTAATATTTAATATTTATATATTTATTATATTATATAAGTTAAAAATAATTAAGTATTTTAAAAATCTTTTTTTTTTTTTAATTTTTGGCCATTTTATACACAATAAGATAGTTGTATATTAAATCTGAATTCGATTCAAAATCCAACATGATAATTGGATGCAGAAGCGAATTTAAGGGTTTCATAATCAAATGTAGATGCAAACACAACTAGCTCCAGTCCCAATTCGATCTGTTTACAGCCCTGTTAAAAGACAGTATTGAAGTGGTATTATCACTGGTGCAATCTGTTTATGGTCTGTTTGATTATTGTGACTAGGATGGGAAAATGGGAATATTCCCATTAGATTCCCATTTTCAAGTGTTTGGTGGCCGAGACAGGATGAGAATTTCTAAAACATGGGATGTGGGGTTGTGCTGAAATGGTGTGACCCCGACGAGAAAAAATGTGTTAAACATGGTATTTTTTTTTTTATATATATATATATATAGATCTATCGTTCTAGACATTATGTTCTTTGTTCATAGTAAATATTATTGGCAATGTTTCTGACTTCTTTCTTTTTATATGATGGCATGCCATATGTCCCATAAAATCTTGTGCAATTGCATATGGTTGTTTTGTTTTTTGTTTTTTTCTCTGTTTCTTTCATCAATGGCATATGATTCTTATGAGCATGCTAATAGAACTAAACACTGGAAAGCAAATTTTGCAAGATAATTGATCTCAACAACTAAAGTACTAAACACAAAATCTCAAAATAAGAAAACAAAATTTCCTTTTTCATTCCATTATTTCTAGGCAACCAAATGGACCATTAGCGTTATCTTTGCAAAGGATGG